CGGTCTAGTCCATCTCCTTCATTTTACAGAAGAGGAAACTGAGGCACAGGGAGGGCCTGGGGCCTAGCTAAAGGGCCTGTGGGGACCTGAGGAGGACCTTCCCTTCGTTTTACAGAAGAGGAAACTGAGGCACGGAGTGGTGAAAGGACCTAGACCGTAGACTGCGAGCTGGAAGGGGTTTAGAAGCCCCCTAGTCCATCCACTTCATTTTACAGAAGAGGAAACTGAGGCACGGGGAGGTCAAAGGATCATAGCTTGAGGGCTGGAAGGGGCCTTCGGGGTTGGTCTAGCTTGACCTCATTTCAGAGGTGAGAGAACAGGCCTCCTGGGATTGTAGATGCAGGCTTGGAGAGCACGAGAGGAAAGGGGTCCAAAGTTCACAGAAGTAGTTGGACTTGGGACTCCCAGCAGGGTTTTTCCACTTTGAAAAGATTCCAAGACTTTGGACTTTCCTCTTTCCCCTTTTTACAACAGAGGCCCCCCCTCACAATCCCCCAGCCCATTCCCCTCCAGCATCGCGATAGGGAGGGTTCCCTGGGCCTGAATGGCCCCCTCCTCCCAGCTCAGGCATTCCTGCCTGAGTCACCTAGCTGCCCTCCCCCCCGCCCCTTTTTAAAATTCTTTTACTTTAGGCAGTTGGGGTTAAGTGACTTGCCCAGGGTCACACAGCTGGTAAGTGTCAAGTGTTTGGTCTGAGGCTGCATTTGAACTCAGGGCCTCCTGACTTTAGGGCCAGTGCTCTATTCAAATAATTTTTATCAAATTGTTTGAAACCTACCTGTGTGGGAGGGTGAGTGGACAAGTTGTGTAACATAAGTAAGATGAGAAACCTGAGGAGGAGATTTGGGGAAGAATGATGACTGCCTCCAAACATTTGAACAGCTAGGGTGAACAGAGGATTCCTTCCATTGCGCACGGCCAGGGAGAGCGGAAGGTTTCAGGGAGGCAGCTGTCAATTTAACTTTCTGATAATGAACCCTTCCCAAAATGTGAATAGTTGCTCTGTTAGATAGTAAGTGCCCGGTTGCTGGAGGTGTTTAAAGAGTGCTTGTTTGGCCGCTTGGGAGACGGCAAAGGAAAATTGATTATTCCCCCTTGGAAGAAGGGGTTGAATTCAGTGACCCCTGTCTGAAGTCTCCTCCAGCGTTCTGATTCTGTTGGTTCTGAATTCTTTGCTTCCAGTCGTCTGATTGTGTGCATCAGTGAAACTTGCTCTTTAACGGTAAAAAGCACCATCTTCCTGTGGATGACATCACGAGATAGAGGCTGCTTTCCCCTCGTAGTATCATATTGCTGGGAGGAAGGCTATCTAGCTTCCCAGGCAGCATCGCCTTAGTCAGTGAAGTATGCAGGGCTACAGATTGCCTTGTGAAGAGCAGCTCACTTCAGGAAAGAGGAGGAAGGGAGGAATTTGGTTTGATACGATAGCCTCTCAAAAATATAATAAAAGTGGCAGTGTAGATTCAGAACGCCTGGCTTTGTATCCTGACTTGAATACTAGTTGTATGCCCTTCTCTGAACCTCAGTTTCCTCACCTGTAAAATGGGTGTAGTCATCCTTGTTCCTACCTAACCCCAAGAGTTGTGAGGAAAGTGATTCGTAAACCTTAAAGTGGTATTGAAATGTAAATTATTTAGTACTCTGTTTCATAGAACTGGATTTAGTCAGAAAGATCTAGGGTTTGCCATCTGAGACCATGTGACCATGGACAGTCAGTAAACCAACCAACAGGCATTTATTAAGCACCTACTTTGTGCTAGGTGTGTATTAGGCACTGGTGATGCGAATACTGAAGTGAGACAGTCTCTGCCCTCAAGGAGCCCTATAAGTAAATGCAGGAAATGTACAAAATAATTGTAAAGTGATTGAGGAGGATGCCGCATTTTGGGAAGGAATTGGGAAGAAGGCATCTCAAAAGATGCAAATCACTCAGCCTCGCTCTCCTCATTTGTAAAATTGGATTAAGAAGAATTGTTGAAAGAATCGAATGAGATAATGAATGTCAAGCTCTTTGAAAACCCGGCGTACATGACTTTTTATATATATATCAAAGGCTCTAAAAATCCTTTAGCAACCATGTTATTCTCTACCACGTTTCTGGCCACTCCCCCAAAGGGTAAAATTGTAGGCATTTGAACCCCATTCCAAACAAGGAATCTAAGGCACAGAACGGCGAAGAGATTTGCTTCAGGGTGTCGTCAGTGACAGACAACCTAAGAGCCCTGTGGGGAGAGCTCAACAAAGCATTGTTTGTGCAGTGTAGATGTGTGGCGGGTGAGATAGGAATTCCCCTGTGAAATTCCAAATGTTTGTGTTTATTATGCACAGAACATGTAAGCGAAAGACATTGGAAAGTTAGAATTCTGCTCTTGGATGCTGCCCTTATGAAATCCCTCCAATGTTTTTAGATAATGAGTCAGAGAACAAGGTGATGAGAACATCAGAGCTCTTCTCTTGGAGCTTCTGATCTGTAGTGCCAAGCCTCCTGGGCCTGGCAGCTAGAGAGCTTTCAAAATTAAGCAGTTTGTACTTAAATAGGAGACCTTGGCAGAGCACCTGCTCAAAATGAACACACCACAGCAGCAACCAGGTAGCTAGAGGTTGAATGGAGGCTGAACGCTTTGTGGCCCAGGTCCTTGTGTTCCTGAACTGGTGACCTTAGAAGACCAGGAATAGCCTCGATCCTTCTTAGGGAAGGAGCAACCATCATAATTGAGGAGCTGGTGGGAGGTGGGTGGCTGGACGCAGTTAGCCTCAGATGGAATAAAAGGCAAGATGAAGGCTTCCTCCCAACCCCCACCCTCTGGACATCTGCACCCATCTTCTCTCTCTTTCCTATAGATGTGTTAGGGTTAGAAGAGAATTTGGCTTGGTGCCTGCCCTGTATTAGGTGCTTAATAAATGTTTATTGGCTAACTGCGTAGGAATTATTTTAGGATATTGGAGGACCTGGGATCTACTCTTGGCTCTTTTGTTTACTACTTGTATGACTTTAGATAGGTCACGTAACCCTTCTGTGTCTCAGTTTCTTCATCTGTAAAAGGAGAGGGCTGGATTAAATGATCTCCAAGACACCTAAATCCATGATACTAGGATCCTGCCCTATTCCCCTTCACCTAGACTTTTTAATAGGGGTGTGTGTGTGTGTGTGTGTGTGTGTGTGTGTGTGTGTGTGTGTGTG